CCATGCGAGTCATTGAGTTTTGTTTTAAACCTTTAGTTTGACACATTACGACTTAGTATTGTAATTATTTTCGTTTAAAATAAAAATGTATATTTAATCGTTTGGAAATAATGTACACGGTACATATTACATACAATGACTTTATGTCTTCATAATTTTTCATAAAATATAATTTCCGATAGTTTTCATAATTTACAAACATTTTAGACCTTATGATTATTTTTAAAACACTATAATGTTTTATTGCCACTCAGTGCTTTTTTTTTTTTTGAATAAGTTCACTCATATATCACCGGAATAATACCTATTTATACACATGGGCTACACAATATGTTTATTAACTTATCGTTATATTTCATTTGTTTATATTTTTTATTCGCTCTCTCCCGTGAGTACAATTAAAGTGGATAATATATGCTAAAAGTAGCATTAGATTAGAGAATTTTTGACTGAGAATAATAATTCTCAGTTACTTTTACTCCCCGCAGTCACATTATACTAGCGAATACTAATAGTCAAGGACAAAAATCCTCTGATCCTCCAGAGCATTTGTTTCGCAGGACAATATATACAGGAACGGAATGATTCACAAAAAGTCTAAGTGAGTTTTAAGTATTCTTCATAAATACAGAATATTGTTAAGTGTTTTCAATATAATGTAGCTAGTTTCAAATTTTGTAAATGTTTTCATTGGTTGGTCGTGTAATTTTGTTTTAATATTGCACTCAGTTTTATGTTAATTCACGTATCACTTCATCAATAAAATATCTTAAAGTAATTGTTTATAACAATTATAATGAAAATATTTTTTATATCCAACATACTGAATCCGAGTATGAACTCTGTAATAATTTTTGTATAAAATTGTGTAGTTATTGGTTGCATTATGTACCGTACATATATTATACAATAAAAATGATACCAAAATCTAACATAATAAATCAAAAAAAAGCTTTAAATTCAAGTACAAAAACTAATTATCTTGTGAGCAAATAATATTATTTTGTTTTGACAAGTTTTAGTATGAAACAAAAAATTTAAAAAAACAATTTAATATTTATAACAGTACAAGATTATGCAAATATATTTAAATTAACATAACATTAATTTAAATAATAATAACAATGATCATGACAGTAATAATAATAAATAATAATAAGTTACAATTTTTATTTACCACAATAAATAATATAACTAACTACATCTTTATAGAATTAATGTCAAGAGTACCTATTTCATTTTTGTTTCAATTTTTTAATTCCTTTGACACAACTTGTCGTATTTATATTAAATTATATTATATTATATTGTCATATTCAACAGAACTTTCGTTTGAACAATTTTATGTAGAATACTCAGATACGTTTGTGTTAACATTTTTTGACGAACATTGAACGCAATGAGCTATTAAATTTTTAGAGTCGAAGGATATTAATGTAAAAAGTTCCATCAAATATAGTAGCATTAGAGATCATTTGTATTGACTTTGACGGGTGTAGTTCATTTTAGGAAATAGTTGGAATTCGACCCTTTAATAACTTTGAGACGAACACGACTCACTTTCATTATGATGAATTACAACAGTGTCACTGGCCACGGAAACTCTATTTAATGATCTATATCTGTGTCTTAATGATTCGTTTTACTCTCGAAGATAGAAATATCAAACCAATAATTATAGCGGACATTTATTTTTTATTTTTATCGATCATAAACACATCGATAACTTGGAAAAAAGTATATAGTATATTATTGTTCTGTACATCAATTTTTATTCAATTGTATAGTTCGGATTATTAAAAAAAGAAAAAAATTAGGTTTCTTATATCTTGCGGGTTCCATGTTAGGACTTGAAATATTTGTTCTGAGATGTAAAATCGGTCGCGATAACATTTGAATGTTTCACTGAACATCAAAAACAAAACGGACTGTTCACGTCAATTATCTGATCTGAGCAAGTACCTATGGTCGATAATATGGCTTTACGGATTCGTTTCGGACTTAAAATGATTTACTAACATTTTACTAAAGCCCAATGTGCGAATAAATAGCAAGTCGATAGCGAGTGTTTATCCAGTTAGACGGGCCGAATAATCCAAAACAATAACATTTATAAATTAAACTTAATATAAGCGTAATAATGTTATAAAATACGGAACACACCGATTTTCATAATAACGGAACTTATCGACGTATCCGCGAATCATTTGAGTTAAACACGATTATGCCGAATAACAAATAGTTCAGTTTATGAACAACGACCAACGACCAAATGATGAATAATATTGTACGATACACGAATACATCTAGAATAATGGATAAAGGATAACCGAATGAAAAGTGAATAAATTAAGGATCATTTTTCATTCGATTATTTAACCGATAATTTTGAAATCGACTTGCCCGTAACTCGGTAATCATTACGCGAAAGAAATAAAACGATTTTTTATCATCATTTATTTTCAATTGATTATTCCTGTTTATTTTAGTCTATAAATCGAATGTTTACTATTATTATTTACTATTATTACTATTATTATTATTACTATTATGAATTTGTCTAGATCCACTTATTCATCAGTTTTTTATTCGTATTACTCGGGATTTTTATCCCGTGTTGAGCCTTTATTGTTACAAGCGTTGGACATACTGCAAGCTGATAAAAACCGTATTCCGCGGAATGTTTTTCCCACATTATTATGCTTACTATAGCGGCGCCGAACCTATGTTTTCAAAACAATGAATTACAACCGGTATGGTTCTAACCTAGGCAGAGCCGTAACAAGGGACAGGCGATTGGCCATTTTCCTCAGGCGCCAATGCCGTTACAACTTGACAATTTTTTTTTATATTGGATTGAAAAAAAGTGCTAATAATAAACAAACAAATCAATCGATTGAATGTGAAAAAACGACGCCTGTTGCACCGTACCAAAAGTACCCTCACAGTTTATGGACTTGATGAGAAAAAAACCTTATGAAACTTCTAGTTAAAATGTCTTTTCTTTAATTTTCAAAATATTACTTTTACTAGATCGTGTTTATTTATTGTTTATTGCGTTCAACTGTGTTAATGTCTTGATATTTGTTTTACCATTCGCTTTATGTTTAAAATTATGAAAACAGTTTATGTAAATTATTATCAAAAACAAAAAAAAAAATTAAGAAGTTATAGTCATTTCTATAATTCATTTGCAAGATATAACAATAAAAGGTATTTTTAATTTTTGATTTATAGGGAATCTTGAGATTTAGAGTGGATATAAAATTCAAAATGTTAACTCTGATTTATTAGACTTTGGAAATGTGTGTATATAAAATTTAATTGTTTATTGTCTTAATGGAAAAATTAAATCAATTATAATTTTACACTTGAAATGTTTTTTGAAATTCAAATTTAGACTTTAGACTTTTAAAGAATTCCGTGGATTTTGTCAATGTTTTGAATATTTAAGCTCGAATTTTAAATACATTCAAATACATTATTTTCTATATAATATTACTTTAGCACCACAAATAGAGAGATTTTTCTCTTTTGTAACGATGACAATTTTATCAAAGTCGCATAGATTGTCAGATTATTTGCTTAAGCATAGTAACTAATATCAAATTAATATTATCAAATATAATGTGCTAACAGATAATTGTAATTAATTATTATTTATGATTATTTGTATTACCATTGTGATAATAATATCATATTGTTATTATTATTTTGTTATACATCAATTGAATATTATTCAATGTTTATCTAATTCACAAATTAAACTATTAAGAATATATAAATATTCAGTACCAAAAATATATAAAATAAAATATAATTTTTGAATCACAAAATAATCAGTTGATTGTGCTTTTATTCATCATATTTTGATTTATATATCAACCTTTATAATTAACCAAATCATATTTTATTCAATTAAAGCCAAAATCTGGTTGATTGTTGATATGAATAGTTATTTAATTAAAATACTTCAAATTTTTCCACATCCATTACAATCCCTATGTAAAAGTTTACGGCAACATAGGATATGCTTAAACTTAATATCGATATGAATAAATGTAATCCTTTAGATTTGATTTTTTTTTTTTTTGTTACTCACTAATTTCACTATACCTATTAATTCGATGTAGCCTTCACCTTTATAAATATAAATACAGACATTTTGTAATTTTTAGCGCCATGAAGAAGAAAATTTAAATAAATTGCATTAGTATAAGCTTATAAAAGGTTTATAATATTTAGTTTGACGTTTTGCTATGTTTGTGCGGTTTTTTATAGGATAGAGGAATACAAATTACAAATAACCCAATGGTTTTTAAGCGACGGTTAAAATATAATAAATAACAAAACACAATATTATGTTATTAAATAGTTGATATTTTCATACAATATAGTTTTATTTACAATGTTTCAATAGGCACTAGACATTAATAAAAACTATTAAAACAATATAAAGTGTAAACTTATAGAATAATATGCTTAGAATAATTAATAATATAATTTACGATTATTTATAAAATTATTTTAATTGTATTAAGAGTATGGATGCATACTATTTGAATAAACTTGAATGAACATAAAAATATCGGATTCAGAAAATAAAATAATGTATTAATAATTAAAAAGAGGTTTGTTTAAAATTTAATATTTCTAACAGATCAAATAGAATAATAATAAATGGTCCATGGCACGTCATAGTGGCAATCGTGCTAAACGCTATTACATAAAATAATAATAATAATAAAAATAGCTTGATGCATAATATATGTATAGTATAATAAAATATCTTAGTACGTATATAGTATTCAACGCTCCAGAATCTTTGGTACCTTATCGAAGAGATTTCATTTTCTTTATTATCGAAAACACACATAAGCTATAGTTGCGTTCGAAACGCACGCTATAAGGACTATAGCGTGCGTATGTAATATAATTTTTCTGATCCAACGGGACTTTGTGCAGCTGTTTTGTTATGCTGCGATCCACATTTATATCTGTCGCGCCTTACACACGCACATACGTTTACTCTCACTTTAATAAGATCAAAACGTATACGGCGTTCACGATTTGAAACAAAAATTATGCACGATATTTTTATTTCTATTTCGTGATAAGCAAGTCGTGAACAAAATATGATCTGTGCATGGTAACTACGCCGTCAATAAAAATTAATAAAAGAGCGATTGCGTCGTCGTCGAATAATAAAAATAAAAGTATTTACGTACGTCCGTTATCCACGGAACGTTTCCGTACGCGAAAGTACACATTTCTGGTACAGCGCTTTCAAATGGACGTAATGTATACATAGTTTTATGCGATCCGCTCTCGATTCAAACGCAATCAATAGACTTCTGTTTATACTGTTTTTTCTGTTTTTTTTCTTCTTAAACCTAACTAAACGTCTAATCGTACACGTCGTTATTATACATTACACTACAAACGATTGTTTTCCCGAACTCGTCAACGAGCCGGTTGAGCTTTTTCATCAGTCTTGGGAGTCGATTGTTGCGAGACAACTTGAGGCATCGAGTCGCCGTACACGTAGTTCACCTTAGGCGACTTATACGAGACGAAGTTCCCATTGGACACCTCGTTTACGCTCAAGTGGTTTATTTCACTGGGAAGCGTTTCTATCCTGATAGGGGGCGCGCTTTTGTCGTCTCTCGTGCTATAGAACAGCGCCATATCTGGTTTTTTGCCCACGGATTCTTCTTGCCGCTCCGCACTGGCGTTGGCCGCTGCCGTGGCAGAGACCTGTTGCACTTCTGACCCCTGTGGTTGGTTGTCGTACGGGTTCTCCGATTTTTGTTGGTTCTCTATGGCCGACAGAATGTCTTGGAGCAGCCCGTTAGAAAGTACCTGATCGTGGGCGACATTTTCACCGCCCCCTTGACCCGGTTGGATCTGGAGCATATAGCTGCCCGTAGAACCTTGTACGGGGTACTCTTTTATGCCATGGTAATCCACAGATTTCGATCCCACAACGGAGGATCCTTCTAAGCCCAACGATTTAACTATATCGTTGACATCCACTCCATCCTGTTGCTGTTGATAATTGCCATTGGTGGATTGCTGATAGTTATTATTTTCGGATTGTTGGTAGTTATTGTTCACGGATTGTTGGTAGTTATTGTTTTCGGGTTGCTGATAATTATTACTTTCCGGCTGCTGGTAATTATTATTTGTGGGTGGTTGGTAGTTATTGTTTTCTTCGTCTCTTTGCTGCGGGTTGTTTTTATTTTCTTCAACGTGTTGGTTTAAATCAAATGCTTGCTGTGGTGCTCCGAAATCGTGCTCGTTTGATATTGAAGGTGGATTGGACTGACTGTAACTGTTGGATTCTTGAGGTGCATTGTTGACAGAAACTGTTTGAGTCAAATGTTGGTAAGATTCTGGAGCGGGTATAGCGTACACTGTAGATAATCCTTGATTGTATATTTCGTTATTTGACGTTTCTGTTGCAGTTGGGTGGTTGTACTGTTGTTTATCTTGTGAATGTATTTCATTTTGCTCTGCAGCTGTATTGGAATACCCCGTCGAACTGGTCGGAGCCGCGTATGTATCACTGCCTGAAGCTGAAGGTATTTCCGGAACTGGAGGTGGAATATATGGTTCTCCTTGGAATGAATTATATTGTGTAGATTCTACAAGACCAAGAGGAACGGGTGGTCGATTTTTCACTGGACTCGTTGGTCTTAGGTCTGGTCCAGGTATTTGTCTTCCAGATGCTTGTCCGTATGCTAAACCATAATGAGAGTCTACTGGCTTCTGTAATGCTAAATCTGGAGGAGGTGTACCACAGCAAATTGCTATTGGTGTGCCAAATGTACCCTCTGGAGGAAGACCGTTGTATGAAGAACTAGATAATGATGATCCGTATTGAATTTGAATTGAATTGTCAATAGAGCCAATAGAAGGTGTTCCATATGTGTCCTTTGGAGCTGGTGGTCCATACGAATTCTTGGGTGGAACGTCATAGGAATCTATTGATGATGGGTGATGTACTGGATTAGGTGGTGGCCCATATGAGTCACTTGGAGGTGGTCCATATGACCCACTTGGGGAAGAGCCAAATGAATTTTTCGATGGTGATTGAAATTCTGGCCTGGCTGGATGGCCGTAAGAGTCTTTTGGAGGAAAACTATTTGAACCTTTGGAAGGTGGACCATATGAATCACTAGGTGGTGGTCCATATGAATCTTTAAGAGGTAGCCCATAAGATCCTTGCGGTGATTGTGGTCGATGTTCTTTTGGTGGTGGTCCATAAGACCCACTTGGTGGAGGTCCATACGAATCTTTAGAGGGTGGCCCATAAGATCCTTTCGGTGGTGCTGGTGGTGATGGTGGTCCATAAGATTCTTTTAGAGGTGGTCCATATGAATCTTTGGGTGGTGGGCCATAAGATCCACTTGGTGGTGATCCGTATGAATCTTTTGGAGGAAGACCGTATGATCCACTAGGTGGTGGTCCATACGAGCCACTTGGAGATGGTCCATGTGAATATTTAGAGGGTGGGCTATATGAATCTTTGGGTGGGGGGCCGTAAGAACCACTAGGTGGTGGTCCATATGATCCACTTGGTGTTGGCCCAAGACTATCTTTAGGAGGTGGGCCATAAGAACCACTGGGTGGAAATCCATACGATCCTCTTGGTGGTGGTCCATGTGAATCTTTGGATG